AATCGTTACAAACGGAAGCCAAATTTAGTATACCTTCGAACATACTTTCGTACGGGCTGGAAAATTTTATGTAATTGGTGAATCTTTTATAATTTTCTCACATTTAAAAATATTAAGAAAGAGAACGAATAAAAATTAAATTGAATGAGTTTAAACATGGTATATTTATGACCTACATACACTAAAGAATTATATAGACATATTAAAAGTCATATAAATAAGAATTATATTTATTTATTTATTTATTTATGTATTTATTTATGTTAAGCTCAAACATTTTACATAACTTAAAATTAAAGAATGAATATACAGATACATATTTTTTAGACAGAACAAATTTTTGACTTAAAAATTAAATTTAAAAATTATACAAAATAAAACTTATTAGTAATAATATTCCATTAAATATACATAAATATAGACAATGAAAAGCTAAAACAAGAATTTGTTAAAATAAAGCAAAGGGTTCTACTTAACTTAAAGTAAATAGAAGCTTTTTCATCGTGTCTTTCTTCAGTGAAAAGTCAAGTTTGTGTTTGTTGCATAAACGCAGCATTCCGCTGACAGGTTCATGTTTCACATAATTAGTCCTACGAAAAGGAATCATGAAAAGATCCGTGGAGATCTAAGGTTGGAATTAAACACAATTTTATTTAAAATGTTAAATGTTAAATTGTTGGAGATATTAAGTCAGTTTAGTTCATAAGCTGAAAAATTAATAACAAATCAGCGACATCACATCTTTTACCCAGCGTGGGTAGGCCAATTAATTTGAGTCTGTGCTCGTAAGATGGAAGAATGGTGGGGTCCTCCCAAGGAAGAAGGCGCAGTGCGAACCTCAAAAATTTTTTTGAATAGACTCAATCCTATTAATATGTATTTCATAATAGGGTGACCATACTTGTGAAGCATATTCAAGATGAGAACGGACCAGGCATGTGTAGAGTGATTTTAAGGCATAAGGATCATTAAACTCCTTTGACCAGCGTTTAATGAAACCTAACATCGAGCTTGATCTGCATATGATATGATTATAGTGGTTTATAAATGATAACTTGCTATCGAAGCAAACACCCAAGTCCATTATTGAATCAACTCGACTAAGAGCTTGGCCATTCAAAGTATAGTTTGTAAAAAATGGCCGTTTTTGTCTAGAGTAGCAAATTTGTGCACATTTACTTACATTGATTTTAAGGTTGTTACTTGAGCAACAGCCGTAGAAGCGGTTAAGATCATTCTGAAGACACAACGCATCATTTGTATACCTTTTTTTTTAAATTTTCATGTCATCCGCATATATTAATACCTCACTGTGCGTTAGCATCGAAACAACATCATTAATTGAAATTATGAACAGGAATGGCCCTAAGTGACTACCCTGGGGTACACCAGAATTAGACGAAAGAGGCGAGGAAATCGCTGAACGAAAGAGGCTGAAACTCTGTAAGTCCAGCCAGAGAGATATGACTTTATCCATGCTAAGAAGTTGTCAGGGAATCCTAAGAGTTTCAATTTTAAACTAATAATTTCATGTGGTAGTATGCCAAAGGCTTTGCTAAAGTCTGTGTAAATCACGTACGTCTGATACCCATTTTCCATATTATTTGAGAAAACTGTCGTGGCTTCCACTAGATCAGTCACCGTGGATTTCTTTTTCAATAAGCCGACAGTTTGGCTATAGGACGATAGTTTGACACGTCATTTTTATTGTTTTTCTTATGGATTGGCCTAATGGAAGCTTCCCTCCGCACGGACGGGAAAATACCCGAAGGATAAGACTTATTAAAAATTTAAGTTAAGATAGGCGCCAGAGAAGAACAGCACCTGCTTAAAATAATCTCAGGAACTCCATCTGGTCCAGGAGAAGGACCAGAACCCAAATTAGAAAGATATTTTTCAACCGCAAAAGAGTTCGTGACGAAATTTGTAAAGGTAGTTTTAGGATAGTTATCAATGTGCCGAAAGTTTTCGACATTTAATTGAAAAGATGAAAAAGATTCGGCGAGAAAGTTACGAAAAAATTCGGAAATAATTTGGGAATTATTACTTGTATTCCCGTCAAATTTCAAGAAGGTGGGATAACCATCACTTTTCCTCTTATGGTTTATAACTTCCAAAAGACTTTGGGATTGCGTATTGAGTTATCCGAAGTTTTATAGATATAGTAGTCTTAACGTTCTTTTGCTGCTAATTTAAAATGATCATACAACAATCGGAAATTATCATAGTCCCTGTGGCCTTTAATGGAGAGATATTTGCGCCACAGCTTATTCTTTTTGTTGCGAAGTACCCTCAACTCTTGTGAAAACCATAGAGGGCCAGAGCCAGTATCTTTAGTTTTCAACACTGGAATAAACAATTCAAATGCAGCAAAAATGATTTCGTAAAACTTACCCGTCATAGACTCAATATCAGTAAAGTTAAATACTGAAGAGAGGTCGTAAGTAGAAAAGAAATCATTTAGCAATGCGAATAAAATCATTTAGCAATGCGAAGAAATCATTTAGCAATGGACATATAAAAGTCAAAAAGAATAAATATGTATACATGTTGCAATAATTTTTATGACTTATGGATCGTATTAATTTAAATAATATAGTGTACCTATGAAGAATATATTATTATATAATCGCTATATTATATAATAGAACATATAAATATAGCGATAATATAAGATGCATTAGTGGGTACATGTTATGTATACGTAATTAGCAAACTTGTTAGTGCCAAAGATACACTTTCTCAAATTTGAAAAAATGCACAAAAATCAAATCAATACTTCGAAAAGAAAAAAATGTACGATTTTCTTGTTGTGTAGCACTTTTTAAAATCTCAAAAAAATTAACAAAGCCTGGAAGGTTTTATTGAAAACAATTTTTAATGCTATTATAACACAAAACTATAGAAATGTTTCCACTAGTAAGATAAAAAAAGATTGATTTTTAATTTAACTTAATGGAAATCTCTACATGCAACTGCAGAACAGATGGATGACGTTTAAAATTGATTTTTAACTTTTTTTAACTAAAAATTTGTAAAAAAAAGGCCCTCTATAGCGTTAAATAACAATGCGTGCAAATTCGTTAGCTGTGAACTGTCATTCTCTCTTAGGGTTCAACCAATATTCCTGTCAGCCGTGATCGCAATTAGAAGAATAATCGCTTATAAAAGGATGTGTCATTACCTTTAAATCTAAATTGTTGAAGGAATGTCATTCATAGAAGATATTTAATTCATTTCGAAGTAGTTAGGAATTAAATTATATTAATATTTAATTTCATTTCGAAGTAGTTAGGAAATAAATTTTAAAAATTTTTATATCATTAGCATAAATATGATTTTAGTATTCGGTAATATTGAAAAAACCTCATTCGCAGAAATTATGAATAACAACGGTCCCAAATGGCTGACCTGAGGCACCCTAGAACTTGCAATAAATGATAACGAGTCAGATGAACGAAAAATGACTATATCTACTAACAAATATGGTATAGCTAATATATAGAATTATTTGGAAAACCAAGTGTCTTAATTTCAAAATATTCTTTTCGTGAGGAAGAATCATGAAAAAGATTTTCCATTTTCTTAATACAAAATGAAGTACATTCGTGTTCAAAACATCGTTTGACATCGAGCTTTGTCTGAAGACGAATAAGAGAAGTTATTCTATAATTTATTTTGACATTAATTCAGATAATTTCAGTCTGGTGTGGTATGTAAACATACGTCAAATTTTGCTTAAGGTTTAATCATAGATTTTGCCTATATGGAAACAGTATTTTAAAAAATAAAAATATATGTGAAAATTCATCAAATCGAATCCAATCCAGTTTGAAATTTTTAAAATTGGATAAGAAGTCAAATTGAGTAAAATTTTTGCTAAAACATAATAATTTTGGTAGTAAAATACAACTGGGAGTTTTCAGCTTCAAATATCAACTTGATCCAAAATTCAAAAATCAACTTGAAATTTTGCCTTTAATATATTACATCTGGGGTATAAAACTTAAAAAAATTTAAAAAGTGAAAACAATGACGTAATTTCACGGAAAAAGAAAAAAATTCTTATTTAAAAAAAAAATAAACCAGACGTAAAAGTTATAAAAATTTTTAAAATTTTTATGAATAGGTGATAACGTCAAATTTCAAAATATTTATCAAACATAAACATATATTTTTTGGTTATACAAAAACTTAAAATTTTTGTATTGGATTATAAAGGTGTGTAAAACTTAGAAAAAACCATTTGTGAATCCGTTCTATTTATTTTATTTTTAATTAAAAAATTTTGAAAAAAAATTATTGATGATGAAAAAAAATTTTTTTGAGAACTTTAAAACTTTAAAAGTTTTTAAAACACTAAATATTACTTTACAAAACTTGAAGAAACTTTAAACATTGAGAAAATGAGAACGTCATCATTTTCTTTCATTTTTGTTCAAAAATCAAAAAGTATTATAACAGACGCCTTACTTACAAAAACCTAATAAAGTTCTTTCAAGTTCTATATAGTTTTTAAAAACGTTTTTATACCAGACAGACCAAGTTCTGTAGATAACTATATATGTATATTTCTTAGTGATTGACATTTTTTCATTCTGTAGTTGCGATGATATCACCAAATAATCGCTACTATCACTTCTCTTTTAGAATATTCTAAGTCTTTCGATATATATTTTTAGTAGAAAAATTTTTAGTATTAATCATATATGTATATAATATTTTCAATAACAGCCTAATTGTCTATCTCGATTTTTCTTTTCCCTTTTTATACACTTTCAAATCAGAATTCTCACTTTTTCTAATGGATATTTCCTTTTACCAATTACTGATTTTTTCAATAGGGTTTTTGAATTTCTCTCAAATTATCACCTTTAAAAACAAAGTGAAAGTCTTCTCTGTCGAAAATTACATTATACAAATATACGATAGTTACTCACTTTTTTCTCACTTGGCGAGTAAATTAGCCAGATATAATATAGTCTGGTCTTAAATATTTTAAATTGGAAAACCAAATATTTTCGAGTAACGCCCGATAGACGTCGTATTGTAAAAAAATAAAAAAATTTGGTGTACGTGAGCAAAACTATATTGAATGTCAATTAATTTACTAGCGCTGTGTTTTGTTCATGTAGGAAACAAATGTTTCCAATTTCTACTATTCGCCACAAAACTATCAAGTAAAAAATTAGTTTGAAAAGTTTTTATATTTTAAATACTGTAAATTTCTTAAATTTTAAAATATATATTTATATAAATTGATAAAAGCTAATAAAAAATAGATTTGCAACTAAAAACAGCAATATGCTTGATGTAGAAAACTTACCGCAATTGCCCATTGTGGTTCGAGCAAAGCCAAAAAAGATTTTCAATCCTAAATTTAAAATTAGTAAAATTCCTCAAGAGCTTTTAGAAAATGTGGAATTAAACAACGCTATAAGTTGCCTTCCAGCTAATTACAATTTTGAGATTCACAAAACTATTTGGAGAGTTAAGGAGTTGAATGCAAAACGCGTTGCTTTACAAATGCCAGAAGGGTTGCTAATGTATTCGTTGACAATTGCTGATATAATCGAACATTTTACGGATGCTGATACGGTAATTATGGGCGATGTTACTTATGGGGCTTGCTGTGTTGATGATTTTTCTGCCAAAGCTTTGAGAGTTGATTTATTGGTACATTATGGTCATAGTTGTCTAATTCCCATAGATCAAACGGAGTTTTTAAAAGTTTTATATGTATTTGTGGACATAAAAATAGATCCACTACATTTTCGGGAAACTGTAAAGTTAAACTTTAAAACGAAAAAAGGTGCTATAGCACTGGTTAGTACAATTCAGTTTGTAACTACTTTGCAAGCAGTAGCTTCCGATTTAAGAAATTTAGGGTATGAGATAATAGTACCACAATCAAAACCATTGAGTCCTGGAGAAATTTTGGGGTGTACTGCGCCAAGTCTTCCTGGTAGGTGTTTAGTATTAACTTTTTAATAAACTTTACAACAATTAGTAAACATTCTTTTATAGACATCGTTAAAACAATAATATATGTCGGAGATGGAAGATTTCATTTAGAAGCCATTATGATTGCTAATCCGAAAATTAAGGCATATAAGTACGATCCATATGAAAAAAAAATTACCATTGAGAAGTATAATCATAAGAAAATGCAGTGTATAAGACATGAGCAGATTAAACAATCAAAAACTGCTAGGATAATTGGGATAATTTTGGGAACATTAGGCCGACAAGGATCTACTAAGGTGTTGCAAATTTTAGAAAAACGAATCCGATTAAAGGGTTATGAAACCATAGTCATATTATTGTCGGAAATATTTCCATCAAAACTCAGCCTGTTGAAAAATATTGACGCGTTTGTACAAATAGCTTGTCCACGATTAAGTATTGATTGGGGTAACGCCTTTAAAAAGCCATTATTGAATCCATATGAGCTTTCAGTAATGTTAAATGATGTTGAATGGACACCTAATAGTCTAGATCCTAATAATGCATATCCAATGGATTTTTATGCATTTAATAGTTTAGGACCTTGGACACCCAGCTTTAAACCACCTGCAGCTGGGGATTGTGATAATAAACCTAAAGCTGGCTGTTGTGGGCGTTGTGTACGAGCTGAATGGGTAAAGGATGAGAAGGAGAACGTAGATATATTGGATATGAAAAAACTTTGACATAAAGTTAATTTATTGTTAAACCAAATTAGATGTAAATAAAAAGTGTTAGTTAAAACTAGACGTAGGTATATGTTCTCAAATTTTTAATCTTTTATTACAGGGATTAGCAACCTCTTTCAGAAGACGGGACATTCCGTGACTTCAATAATGCGCTTATGACTAAAAAGTTTAGTAAAAGCCTTTGAAATTATGCTGCACTTTGAGAAAAAAACTTAATAACTAGCACTTTTTTGCTGAAAACAAGTCCTAGTTTATTTAATTAGTTATATCTGGCAACATTATGTATAACCAATATCCACTACGTATAAAACGCATTTTGGAAAAATGTACAATGTACAAGAATGTACAAGAGCTTTTACTAAACTTTTAAACACTAAAATGTAATACTTTAAGTTTACGTCGTAAGCGCATTATTGAAGACACGGAAAATTTATACGGAATTCACATTCTAAAGTAGCCTAAACAGAATTGAGACTCATATTTATCAAATTCATTTTTGTGTTTATTCGCGACGCAAATTAAATTCTTTTAATAACCTTATAGAATCTGCGCAAATAATAGTTATTATGTAAAATTTTTTTAATTAATTTTTTTATTTAATTTTTCTTATTGGTATTTTATTAATTTTCTCTACAATAAAACACAATTTATTTTACCAATAAATTAAAAAAACAAACTTTTCATAACCTATTGTAGCGGATCGTCATACGGTTGTAAATTCCAACGTGTTTATATTCAAAATGTTCAAATCAACATAGCAGCAAGCCAGCAAAATAAAAGAACGCTACACTTCCTAGTAAGAAGTGGGGATTAAGTTTCCGTACTATCCTTCTGTTAGAGAGCATTTTTATCACTTTCACGCTCTAACATTGTTGATTTTTCCAAAAAATATTTTGATCGTGTAGCGGATCGTACAAAAAGTTCTAAAGACCTCAGGTTGTCAACTCTTTTACATATAATAGTATCACTTCTAGGCCTTGTTCTGGCCATTTATTCGATATCGTTCAAATAAAGTTTTGCTACTGCAGAAGTCTAAAATTTGCAACCGGTGTGCGTCAGATAAATTTTTACTGTAAAAATTTCAACGATAATAACAGTTTTGTTATTTCATTTAGTTAAAATTAAATAACGTGCTTCGAAATAATTAAATTTTTAATTGAAAAACAGAATGAGTTTATTTTTCTTTGAAATATTAGATAATGAAAATGAAGAGGTAGAACATTGCGAATGCTAGGTTTGTTACCATATTAAAAATTTATTATAAATAAAGTTATTGCAAAATTCTTCTACACGATTATCTACCTCGCCGCGGTGTAGGGACCGAGTAGGGTCAAGGAGTCTCGGGAAACATCCCCAGATGAGACCTGAAACCAAATGATAATCATCCGTTGTCCCAACATATCCCATCTATTGACTCCCAGATTTCCCTGGGCCGGATTAAGGTGTTATACGACCCGTTCCGATAATCAGTTTGGCCCAAACAAATAGCCCAGTCGCGAACGGAGTATCCGGATACCTTGCGCTCTCCGGATTATTTAGCTTTGTCTAGGTCGGATCACTGCCTAGATGGACTTCCTTTCTTTGCAACTCGTGGGACTAGTATGGAGAAAAGAAACAAAAAAAACATCGATGAGTCTGATACTCATAAAAAGCCGGAAAGGAGTGGAGAGTCGGCTTATGCAAACTTCTCTCAAATCATGAGCGAAAATCCAGGCCCATATCCCTGGCGCAGAGACCAAGGTTGGCACCAGGGATGTATGAAACTTGTGGCCTGTGCAGACAGTAGGTCCCTGGACCTATACACAAAGGCTATAGTGAGGATTGGAGAAATCAGGTCCGGCGCGGGACTCGCGGTCTTTGCAAAGGAAGATTTCCCAAGCAGACCGCGAGCTCGTGCCTGGATTCCTGCTGAGCTATCAGACATTGAAAGAATCTTAAAGATGATCCAGCGGGGAAACATAAACCTGCCAACTGCCAACTGGAGAGTGGCCAAGTTTGAAGATAAGAAGGGCGACTATAGACAGGGACTCGTTTTATTGAATAAAGAATCGCTGGCTTCTCTGGAGAAGCAGGGGTTTGTGGTCAACTATGGGTTTTCCTCTATAACACTAAAGGTGTACAAAACGGACACTAAGGTGGAGGGGACCCATAAGCCGGAGGACGACAAAGGGCCAGTCTCGGAACGGGAGCCTGCGGTCGTCCAGAGCAGTGAGGAAACTGCACAGGCGTCTGTTCAGACACCACTTTCATCAGAAGCAGAAATGCTGGATGGGTCGGATCTGACCGACGACGACGTCATGCATCTAGACCTGGAGGGAACCCTGCTGTAATGTAGCAGTAATGCTTCGAATAATTCAGATCAACCTCCACCACTCTAAAGCGGCATGGGCTGCGCACTTTCTCCGCCTACAAAAGGGCGGAGAAGACATAGCTCTGGTCCAGGAACCCTGGCTGGCAGGTGGAAGGATCTGCGGACTCAAGACGGCGAACTATAAGCTGTTTTATAGCAACAAACTTAAATGCTTTTCTGTTGCCTCTTTACAGCAGTGAAGATTTGACTGCAGTCAGTCTCGAGGTCGGTGGCAGGACCTCCTGGTGGGCCTCAGTATACCTGCCCTATGATTTTCAGGGGATGGTTCCACCTAGCAATCTGAGAGACCTGATGGAAGGGCGCGGTCTCTTAGCACTTGTCTCATCATTGCGAGCGATGCCAACGCACATCACGTGATCTGGCGAACCTCGGATATCAATGCTAGAGGAGAGTCACTTTTTGATTTTATCTTGAGTACTAATCTAACACTATGTAATAGAAGCTCAGAGCCCACATTAGTTACTAAAAATAGGCAGGACGTTATAGACATAACCATTGCCTCACAAAATATTTTTGGCTCGGTTACGAACTGGAAAGTATCGCAAGAGCGTTCCTTTTCGGACCATCGCTATATAGAATTTGAATTCGTTGCTAGACACAATTCTCCTTTTCAGACTTTCAGGAACCGCAGGCGGACTGATTGGCCAAGGTTCCGAGACTCACTAAGCAATCTCCTTAGTCTATACGCTCACTGGAGCCATAAATGGCCCCTCTAGGGAGGCGTGACCGTTAACAAAAATACGAGGCAAGGATAAGAGGCAACAAGAAACCACAATTGTGTTCCGATGGGTTAAACGCCCTTCGTAAAAAATGTAGAACTCAGTTTAAAAGGGCGAAGTTCACCGAGGCACCATCTGATTGGTGCGCCTATAGGGATGACCTAAGGAAGTACAAGAAGGAGTTAAGAAGGGCTCAGAGGTCGTCCTGGAGGGAGTTTTGCGGCAGGATTGGAGAGACTGCGGAGGTCTCCAGACTTCGGTGGGTCTGGGCAAGTGACTCAGGCGTGCCGAGCTACTTGATGGCTGCTGGCGGCTCCTGCTGCTTGAATACGTACTTTCCTGAAGATCGCGGAGATCGCGGGAGCAGTGATCACTGAAAGGGGAATACTCTGGGCCATTCGCGGCTTTGATAAGTCGGCTGGCCCTGACAAAATAGTGCCAGCAGAACTACAATGCGCTGCGGGGATCATCCTTCCTTGGCTTAAGATCATCTATGAGTGCTGTATAGACTTAACCTACATTCCAAAAACGTGGAATGTTGCTATGGTGGTCTTCATCCCTAAGGCTGGGAGAAGTTCTCACAGCTGACCAAAGAATTTTAGACCTATCAGTTTAACATCTTTTCTATTATAGGTATTGGAAAAGTTGATGGACATATACATAAGGAGTAACATTAACCCAAGGCTTATATCTCCGGCACAACATGCGTATCGTAAGGGGAGGTCAACGGAAACGACCCTCCACTCTTTGATACACTACATTGAAAAATCTGTGTACTGCAGAGAGTACACAATGGCTGCTTTCCTGGATATTGAGGACGCATTTAACAATGTCAAGTCGCGGGCTACCACTCAGGCGCTGTCGGGGCTCTCGATTCATGGCTCCTTGATTGCTCTGATAGGCAACATGCTGTCAGGGAGAACCATCAGGGCTAGCTTTAGGGGATCATGCATCGAGTGCTCCATTGGCATGGGAACCTCGCAAGGAGGTGTGCTTTCTTCTTTTCTCTGGAACATCGTAATTAATCAATTACTATTATGCCTGGAGTAGGAGGGCTACAAGGTGATAGCTTAGCTGATGATTTGACTGTCGCGGTGTCTGAAGAGCACCTTCATGCCCTAAATTTGCTGATGCAGAGGGCCCTGGGCCTCGTTTCTGGCTGTGCTGTCAGCTGTGGGTTGACTATCAACCCACAAAAGACGGAACTGGTTATTTTTAGTAGGAGATATACCAACAATAACTTCGCGACCCTCAATGGAATTCGCTTATCCTTTAGCAGGGAGGCTAGATTCCTGGCTCAAATTCTTGATTCAAAGTTGAACTGGTAATCCAACGTTATGGAGAGAGTAAGGAAGGCAACTATTGCGCTTTACTCATGTAAGAAGGCCGCCAGAAAGTGGTGGGACCTAAAACCAAGCATGGTTTATTGGCTATACACCGCAGTCGTGAGGCCGATCCTGATGTACGGCGCTCTGGTGTGGTGGCCAGCGCTCCACACAGCGGGGGGTCTCAAGCTGATAAGCAAGATTCAAAGAATGGCAATGGTGTGTATTGGTGGGGTATTACGCTCCACCCCTACTCAGGCTCTCGAGGTTCTCTTACATCTGCCACCAGAGGCTTTGCGCTGGCTGGGTTGCAATGTCGTATCGGCTGGTGGCGTCAGTATTTTCACTGACAGCCAGGCCGCGATAAGAGTACTGGGCTCTGAGGTCTCCACGTCTAGAACGGTCCGGGACTGCAGTTCGTCTCTCAACGAGAAGGCCGGGCAGTTCGAAATAAACTTGGTCTGGGTCCCCGGATACAGTGGGGTTCCGAGTAGCTGCAAGGCGAACGAGCATGCGTGGCATGAAACTACTCTGGAGATTCCACCTGAAAAGGAGAACTTGGGCATGCCTCTAAGAACCCTAGGGCTGCTGCTGCGCAACGCGGCAAAGGAGCGCACCAACCTTAGATGGGCTAA